ACGATCACGGTGCCAATTTATTCCAACTTTTAACTGGTATTATTGTTATTCGCCGGCTGCTGTTTTTTTTCGTCTTATCGCTGTTATAATGAAGGAGCTTCAGTTATCGTTGATATCAGAAAATAACAATTTATGGCTTCGAAAAAAAAATAGATAGCATTGACGCTAAATGATAATTTACATTTAAGATATCAATATAATGAGCACCATTCACTGTTATGCATAGCCTACATTTTGTCATAAAACATTTTTTTGGCCTACAAAAAATAACCGGTCGAATGTTAGAGGTTTATTTTTTGTATGTGATTCTGGTACTGTGGTCAGCACAACCCTAGTAAAAAAATAGTGCGTTTAGGCCCAGCGATCTTGGAGGCAATGAAATAAGGCCGCGCGGCCTTATCGAGCTTGATGAATGTTGCATTTTTGTAAGTAAAGTGGTCTCGATCTAACCGAGTATGATGCGCTGAAGTATTATTTAGTATTATTAGGTTGCAGCAGATCTTAATCATTCATAAAGGGGGATCAGGATGCGCGGTCTTATTTCATCGTCACCAAGATAGTTGGACCTAAATCTACTAAATTATTTATTGCTTTATAGAATTTGTATACCAAGCTGTCCTAGCTACAGTAACAGAATTGAGTTCCAAAATTGAGGCAACCTCAAGCATTCGAGCGGTTATTTTTTGTATGTTAAAAAATCTTTGATGACAAAATTTAGGTCTTGCTTAACAGTCAATGGTGCTCATTACATTGATATCTTAAGTGTAAACTATCGTATAACATCAATCCTCTCGATTTCTTGTACCAAAACCATATACTGTTATTTTATGATATCTATGACAACTGACACTCCTCCATTAAAACAGCAATAAAACGAAAATGAAAAAACAGCAAAGGGCAAATAACAATAATACCATTTAAGAATTGCCATCTTTTTCAACAACGTCGTACGTCAGACGTGAGAAGGGGTTTTAATAAAAGTTCTGACTTTGGCATGACGTTTATGTGAGTTTTTCGCCACCTCAAGGAAAAATAATACTGAACGAGATAGAAGGCTAAAATAAACCAGATTCAAAAAAGTTGATATTTGTAGAAATGGCATGGGATTAACTGCACCGGAATGGTAGTGGTTGTCGTTCGGTTTTTCATTGTATTCAAAATAGATCTACTCCTATAGCACTTCTGCAACCGAAGGCTGTGGGTTTCTTGGTCAAATATTTCTAATCCCGTCCGCAAAATTTTGAAATGTATATACAGGGTTTCCCAAAATTGAAGAATAATCCTGCAACTGTAGATAGGGCACGTGATGGCCTACGAGATGCAAATATTTTGTTTTATAACAAGTCTTACAGTTTTCGAGATTTTCAGCATTAATTTTTTTTGTAAACTGGCTTATATTCAGTGCGATTTCTACAAATATCAACTTTTCTGAACCAGGTTTATTTTCAAACACTCAGTATTAAGCATTTTATCCCGTCCCGTATTATTTTTCCTAGACGGAGCAAAATACCCAGATAAAAGTCATGCCAATGTCTGATATTTAGGCCCGTATCGTCAGTCGTCCCTACAATTGTAGGGCGCGTTTATGGCCTCCTTGATTGTCATACTGCTTTCTCTCCTTCAAAAATTTCTAGATTACACTTGTCCCGTGTCAGCGTCAGCGCTCTCCTATTGTGAAGATATGTTTTCTTTTTAAATTGTAGGAAATTTCAGGCTGATAAAACATGATATAACTCAAAAGCAAGCACAATTTGATGCAAATAGATGTTTGTGACATAACCTCAAAATAGAGCTCTGACACGGAGAAGTAGAAAACTATGACAATCAAGGAGGCCATAAACGCGCCCTACAATTGTAGGGACGACTGACGATACAGCCTGTAGAGTGAGAGGATCAAGCACGATCACGGTGCCAATTTATTCCAAATTTTAAATGGTATTATTGTTATTCGCCCGCCGCTGTTTTTTTTTTCGTCTTATCGCTGTTATAATGAAGGAGCTTCAGTTATCGTTGATATCAGAAAATAACAATTTATGGCTGCGAAACAAAAAAAAATAGATAGCATTGACGCTAAATGATAATTTACATTTAAGATATCAAAGTAATGAGGGTTATTTTTTGTATGTGATTCTGGTACTGTGGTCGGCACAGCTTTGTATAAAAATTCTCCAAAGCAACCCTAATAAAAAAATTTCGGGCGTTTAGGTCCTACGATCTTGGTGGCAATGAAATAAGACTGCGCAGTCTTATCTAGCTCTATGAATGTTGCATTTTGTAATTAATGTGGTATCGATCTAACCGAGTGTGATGTGCTGAAGTATTATTTAGTATTATTAGGTTGCAGCAGATCTTAATCATTCATAAAGGTGGATTAGGATGCGCGCTCTTATTTCATCGTCACCAAGATCGCTGGACCTAAATCTACTAAATTGTTTGTTGCTTTATAGAATTTATACCAAGCTGTGCTGGCCACAGTAACAGAATTGAGTTCCAAAATTGAGACAACATCAAGCATTCGAGCGGTTATTTTTTCTAGATTAAATAATATTTGATGACAAAATGAAAGTCTTGCGTAACAGTCAATGGTGCTCATTACATTGATATCTTAAGTGTAAACTATCGTTTAACATCAATCCTGTCCATTCTTTGTACCAAAGCCATATATTGTTATTTTATGATATCCACGAAAACTGACATTCCTCCATTAAAATAGCAATGAAACGAAAAAAAAAAACAGCAAAGGGCGAATAACTGTAATACCATTTAAAAATTGCCAACATTTTCAACAACGTCGTACATCAGACGTGAGAAGGGGTTTTAATAAGAATTCAGACTTTGGAATGACTTTTATGTGAGTTTTTCGCCGCTTAAAGGAAAAATAATACTGAACGTGATAGAAGGTCTAACTATGAGTGTTCTAAAATAAACCTGTTTCAAAAAAGCTTATATTTGTAGAAATGGCATGGGATTAACTGAATATAAGCCCATTTTTCAAACCAAAATTGAATGCTGCAACACTCGAAAGCTTTTAACAAAATAACATGTGACGTTGAATTAGAGCTGCCGAGCTGTCTTCACTAAAATCCCAGCAACAGAAATACACATTTGATGGCTCGCCCTATTATAAACATTACGATAGGTGTCCAGGCTCTGTTTAAGTCCTAATTTTGTATTGTAAATTTTGTTAAAGATCCTTTGCTGTTACATTTTTCAGAAGGTTCGAGTAAACCTTTCTATAGTTTATTTCTGAAACTTTTGAATATGCAATAAGCAGCAATAGGCGAAAAAGTCACTAAGGGGCGTATCGTCTGTCATTTCTACAATAATTGAAGGTCGCCTTTATGGCCTCCTTGATTTTCGTAGTTTCCTACTGCTCCGTGTGAGCGATCTATTGGTTATGCCACAAATATCTATTTGGATCAAATTGTTCATGCTTCTGATTTACATCATCTGCTCTATCAGCCTGAAATTTCCTATAATGAAAAAAGAAAGCACAACTTCACAATAGGAGAGCGCTGACGCTGACACGGAATAGTAGAAATCTAGAAATACCCCAGCCTTTCTGAGGGAGAGAAAATACTATGAAAATCAAGGAGGCCACAGTTATTGTAGGAACGACTGACAAGACGGCCCTAAAATTTAGAGAATTGATTCGTGCTACCATAGTGGTATTTCTCAACTCAACCGTATAAAGTTCTAGTACCTAGTTCATATAGAATGAACTTCTTCAAACGGTGTAAAGTTACAAAAAGATGAATGAATATAACTATTATCAACAACGTATTGTTATATAAATATCTTTAGTAAGAATATATACAGATAATATAGCACTTCAGCAGCCGAAAACTGTGCGTTTCTTGGTCAAATATTTCTAATCCCGTCCGCAAAAGTTTGAAATGTATATCTTACAGTTTTCGAAATTTTCAGCATTATTTTTTTTGTAAACTGGCTTATATTCAATGTGATTTCTATAAATACTAACTTTTTTGAACCAGGTTTGTTTTCAAACACACAGTATTAAACCTTTTATCTCGTCCGGTGTTATTTTTTCTATACGAAGCAAAAAACCCACATAAAAGTCATGCCAATATCTGATTTTTATTGAAACCCCTTCTGGCGTCTAACTTTGACACCCTGTAGAGTGAGAGGATCAAGTACGATCACGGTGCTAATTTATTCCAACTTTTAAATGGTATTTTGTTATTCGCCAGCTGCTGTTTTTTTTCTTCTCGTCTTATCGCAGTTATGATGGAGGAGCTTCAGTTGTCGTTTATATCAGATAATAACAATTTATGGTTTCGAAACAAAAAAAAATAGATAGCATTGACGCTAAACGATAATTTACATTTAAGATATCAATGTAATGAGCACAATTGACTGTTATGCATGGCCTACATTTTGTCATAAAACATTTTTTTGACCTATAAAAAATAACCGGTCGAATGCTGTATTTTTATTTTATGATATCTACGAAAACTGACACTCCTCCATTAAAACTGCAATTAAGCGAAAAATAAGAAACAGCAAAGGGCGAATAACAATAATACCGTTGTCATAAGACAGACGTGAGAAGGGATTTTAATAAAAATTCAGACTTTGGCATGACTTTTATCTGAGTTTTTCGCCACTTCAACGAAAAATAATACTGAACGAGATAAAAGGCTTAATTCCGAGTGTTTTAAAATAAACCTGATACATAAAAGTTGATATGTGTAGAAATGGCATGGGATTAACTGAATATAAGCCCATTTTTCAAAACAAAATTGAATGCTGCAAATCTCAAAAACTTTTAACATAATAAAATGTGACTTCCCGCTTACATTTAATTAGAGCTGCCGAGAAAATTTTGCGGGTTTTGAATAAAATCCCAACAACAGAAATACGTATTTGATGGCTCTCTCTATTATTAACGTTACGAAAGGTGTCCAGGCTCTGTTTAAGTCCTAGTTTTGTATTGTAAATTTTGTATTTTTTTATTTTGCTATTATATTTGTCAGAAGGTTTGATTAAATCTTTCTATAGTTCATTTCTCAAACTTTGGATCGTCTTAAAAATATATATCCATAGATATAAAGTGTTATTCATAAAGTTGAGTAAAATAAACAGATGTTTCCATATGTCCGCTGATGCTATGATATCTTAAGATAAACCTCACGTATTTCAGTTATATTTTACAATAAAATAGATTATATAGAAACCCTCAACATTAAAAAAAGGAGGATTCCTCCTAAACCTACAGAATTCGCTACAGGATAACCGAAAACATTCGGTTTTGTGGCCTGTGCCTTGATTTTTTGGAAGTTAGTTTTTTCTAGCGAGTCTAAAGTTCTACTAATGTCCATTACTTGCGACTTAAGGTAGAATTGATTATGTTTAGTTAGGAGTTTAAATCGAATATTTAGCTGTTTCTGTGACCAGATCCAATTACATTTTTAGAATGCCCAGCTTGTATTAAGAAATAATCATATACTTCATATTACTTTACGATGCCGAATGAGACATATAATCTCAAATATCATTTTCAGGTCCTCCAATCTTTCACATTCAAAACTTCTCATTGGTCTTGTATCCAGTGGATAAATTGAAATGTCCTATAATAGATAAGCATAGGGATGTTATTTTCAATTTACACACCAGGTAAGTCAAAACATCAATAAATTCACCCAACAGAAAGTCCGAAGCTCTAAGAGGCTTATTTATTATCTAAATACGCAGTACCAGTAGGTACTCGTTTTTCTTTGAAGCCGACAAAGTTCTTAATATACTACTGGTGAAAATATGTATTCCCCTTATATTAAGCCTATTGAGAAATACCTATTACATAATTCAAATACTTGAATAAAAGCCTCGATGATTAAGTTGAGAAGTGTATATTTTCTAACTAATTGCACAGTTCTTGACCCTTCTAGACAGGTGACAAAAACATTGAAGGCCTAAAGTTAGTAAGTTGGATCGAAAAATTAGAGGAGCTTGGTACTTTCTACAGATGATGGAAGACTTCTGAACCTAGTCTGGTTTTATAAAAAAATTAAAACAAAAACATTTCTCTTAATAAATACAGGCATTCGAGACCTTGGCATGCCTTTCTGAAAATTACTCTTCACTATCATACTTCTCGTGGTGGAGCTATCTGTTGGTATCTAGGTGCTATAGGTTTGTCCAGGATGCACACCTTCAGTAAAATGTATAAACCTCCACCAAATACAAGCTGTCCGATTGCCACCAAAATCACTACGGCCCATGCTGGAACACCAGGAGGCTCTGCAAAAATAAAAAGCAAAACATTTCTTGTTGATGTTCATTCAGTTATTCAAATTAATAAACTCTGTTTTCTAATGTTCACGTATTAGAGTTAGTACGAGTGGTATTTCTAAGCTGATAGTTTTTCAATTCCTGCTCTTTCAGCTACAACATGGGGATTTTTCTGATTTCTCATTAACCGGTTTCGTTCATATGCCTAGAAATATGTGAATTTTTAGATGTGATTTGTATGACGACAGCATCCGCAAGGTTTAACATAAAAGTAATTTTTTCCTGACCGATGATGCTATAAATATTAAGATTGAAACTTACTCATGTACCATCTGGTTACAGTTTTGCGACCTCTCAAAATTTTTCGTCTACATTCTGCTTCCTGCAATACTGCTATAAGAACTACTGTAACAAACATTTTAATGAATAATATAATAAATAAAATTAATGAATAACGAAAAATGTAATCGGAAACAAACAACAACGCCTGTGATGACTATAATTTTTAGAATGCTGAAAAATACTTAACTTCACTATTTACAATACCTAACTACCGTTAACATTGAAGCATTACTTTAGCTCAAGTACTTACATAGCACAAGAATAGAAGACTTGAAGTATTTGAAGCACATTTCAAACAGTATACCTATACACATGAATTTAACACTGGACCTTTTAGGCGAGATTCTACAAAGAACTCTACCAGTTATCTTCTTATCAATGTTTACCGAATGATACAGGTGTAATATACATAGAGATGACACAGATTCTTTATAAATACGTAAATATTTATAAGCTTTTTAATCATCATTTAATAGTATCACATTTTTTGTTTATTTTCAAGCAGAATTGATTTTTGGCCATTAATTAACAGTTTAAATGAAAAAGCATTAACTAAAAATGCCATCTATTTGGATAGACCTTATACCTGTGATAGAGGATACAGTATACTGCTTTCGCTCGTGGTCCTGCCTATAAACCAAGCCTAGACCGTGCTGAAAGTTGCCAGTATACACAAAACAGCTGTATATAGGGTTAATCCTATGTTAGCTGGACCGGAGAAGCTAGTATTATTGGTTGTCATTGACAAATAGACTATCGGTCACCATGCCAGAATCAACGGTCACCAAGCGGTCACTGTAAGGACTCGGCTTTCAACGCGAACTGAGATACCTTTGCATTTTCAACAGATAGCTGCTATTCACTCTCGCAGTGGTCGATTCCTAGTCTGCATACCTCCGATAGCCGATACTTTGCTCTGCTTTTATTCAATGTCCTACCTAGAGACCAAGCCTAAATCATACTGATGATTGCCAATAAGCATGAAACTGTTGTACACGGTTGGCCCCTTGTGGTCGGACCAACGAAAGCAACATTATTATTAAAGTATTAGCAAAGATTAGCTATAATGCAGGTTACCGGTATATTCTCAGTATCGAGAACTTTGCGGAGATTTTGATGGAACTTGAGTCTAACCAGTTTTCACTTAGGTGTATGGACCATTAAATAATATTTTGTTATTATTCAGTCAGAAAATATATTTTTTATCTCCAGGTTTCGTAGAACTACAGAAATTAAATGCGAACTGAATACTAATTGATTACAATTAAGGACTATCCTTGGCTAAATTAGTGTAAAGTAATTATTGGTAAATTAGTGGTATCGATTTAAAGACGAAAATGATGGTGCTGACTGTTGCATAAGTGTTATAAATATTGCTGTTTACAAATATGACAAGTCTTATTATTGTCATATGTATGAAAATATGTTTGTATATCCACATAAAACTGAGAATGATAGAAAAAAGTTTATCAATGATTTGAAAAACGTTGTTTTTTAATAAGTATACTTAGTGACAAAAAAAGGTAAACACCTACGTATGTTTATACGATTTCAATAATTTTTGGCATGTATGTTCAGTGTCCCTTACTAGTAAAATGATTAAATTTTCAGCTTGATTCGTCAACTGACTGCAGAAGCTGGTTCAATAATGTGTTCAGGATCCGCGATTTCTTATACACTCATTGACGCGCCTGGGCATCGTGCCGATAAGGTGGTCGATATCCTGTTGGGGTATCTTATTTCAGGCTACTGCAACTTCGTGGGTAAGAGCTACTAAAATCTGTGGAGGGTGTTGCAAATTCAGAGCATATCATGTCCCAGACATGTTCAATTGGAGATAGGTCAGGCGATCGTGGTGGCCAAGGTAAACGGTCGATGCGATGTTGATCCATGAAGGTTAACGATGCCCTGGCAACATGTTTCCTGGGATTTTCTTGCTGAAAAATCGGGTTTTGGATGGTGTTTAGGTATGGAATAGATTTGGCTCCACTACTTCCTGAATATAGCGTCGGGCTGTCATATTGACTCTGATGGAAATTAGTGGTGATCTGCTACCATAAGCAATAGCACCCCATACCATAGCTCCCACGGTGTGATGTACGTGACGCTCACTGTCAAATTCTGGGTCACGATTTTCACCACGTGGCCTTCCCACTCATGTCCGACCATCGCGTCCCTATAGAAGCGGGATTCCTCCCTAAGGACTACCTGATTCCATTCCCGATCCCACAGAATTCTTTCTCTACAGACGGTTGTTGTTCAGCTGTGAGAGGTAGCACCCAATGTGGGCGATAAGAAAAAGGCCAAACTCTCGTATTCGGCCATATACCATACGCATACCAACCATCCTTCCATGCTCTTCAAACCACTGATTAGCGATGGCTTGGTACTACTCTGAGAGCCAGAGGTCTTAAGTATTAACCAGTGGTCTTGACGCTTTGTGGTCTGTCCGGGACGTCCAGAGCCCCTCACTCACTGTTATCGGCCTTCCTGAGTCCCCGCTCGTTCACACTGCAGTGACTTGCGTAAGGATCTGTTGGTCCTCCTAGAAACTTCTCTTATCGGTAGACCGGCTTCACGCAACCCGATAATTCGACCTCTCTCAAAGTCACTAAGCTGGGACACCCGGCGAATTCCACGCATTTTGAGCAATCACAAAAAGGCTTCTCAATAAGCTACACGAGATTTAACATTTAACTGACACTGTAAATGTACGAAAATTGAATGTTTCTTTATCACCAAGCAATACACACATACACGACAAAAACTTGACAGAAAAACCTGACCATCTTATCACTTGTTGTTCATAGCAAGGTAAATCGATATGTAGAAAATTCTTGAATTCTAATAAGCATGCGTAGGTGTTTACCTTTTTTTGACAGTCAGTATATGTACATAGCACGAATGAAAACCCGTTTCTCCCAAATAATGGCGGGAAGAGTAATCATAAATATGTCACTCGCATATTCTGTGATATGCTTTCAAAGTTACGACATGAGGTGCAATCAATTGAAAGATCATTATCATAAAGATAGATCAGATTCTTCACGATAAATTAGTCATGGTTTTCCGGTACACGAATTTAGAGAAAGGTCAATATGCAATTAAATATTCTAATAATGTTCGCTAATATTGCGAGACAATTTGGAGGCTGTGTTAAACTGGCCAAAATAATTGCAAAATTTGGAGGGCATAAAATCATGTTTAATTATAAATAGATATGATTTATTTGGCAAAGTTTTGCAGTATCTAGCAATTTATTGAAACCCGTTTGTTATATTTTTAAATCCATTTGACTTCTCATGCCTCTTCAGGCATTTGGACAAGAAAATTCTAAAAATTGAAGTCCCTCCTGAACAGAAAGGCACATATTCCCCCAGTACCCGATGTAGGATGTATTCTGGACAAACGCAAGGGAAAACTTGATTCTAACTGAGATAAGTGCTGGACACAATATATTTTTTCATGCATGTGAATTCAAAATTGGGGGAATAAGAACAAATACCAAAGTAATTTAGACATCAGAATTATAAAAATTGCCATTTTTGATGGATCTCTCAGAATGTGAAATGTTAATGTATGAATAACTTTCTTATTTGTCCACCGACAATTTTGACTTCTAATTTAAATAAGTTAAATCGTTTTGCCCCGATAAAACTAAAAGTAATTATATAGAGAATTACTAATCTTCTTTTACAGACTTAACCCCGTGGAACCACAGATTTTGGAAATTGGAAACGATGATCTCTTGGCAACATCAAATATCGATTTCCGCAATCCTACGGTATTATTTTTCCACGGATTCACTGAATCGCCTAAAGCTGGCGACTACCAAGCAATGAGACTGAGTAAGCTTCTTCCAGTAACTTCTCACTCTTTGTAGCATCATATCCTTTTGAATAAAGTAACGATTCTTACCGTGAGACCAACACAAGCGTAATTGTCAGGTTTCACAATTTCGATCTATAATATTGAAATCATTTCTTGCCTATGTTGAAGGTAATAAAAAATTCTTGGCAAAGATTCAAAATAAAATAACATATTAACAAGAATTCAAAATTAGGTTTTGTTATTCTTGTACGTATTATTAACCCTGACCTTGGAATGAAAGAGAATTCTCTATCAGATAATCGAATAATCAAAATAATAAAGAACCATAATTGATCATGAAAATAACCATTTTACACACTGATTACTATAAATGTTACTAGATACACATACAATTAAGCATAATGTGCCTTAATAAAAGCTGTGTTAGTTCATTGCCTCTCGGATGCAAGGTCAATCTCTCAGGAGAGAGTATTCAGGGTGAACGGCCTTAGTGTAGTTAGAATGCAGCAATAAGTCGACTTCGTATGACTATCTTATGATGCTCATTTATAGTTATTTTTTCGAGATATTGCATAAAGGTCGTTTACCATGATACAACATTGTGTTCATTATTTGGTATTAAACTTTGTGAGAAAATGCGTTACTAAATTTAGTCCGATTTTGTTTACAAATTACAATCTTGTCTGGCACGTAAATAAATGTTTGTAATAAATTACGTCGCTTGCTTTTTTATGACTTTAAACCAAGTGCTTGAGCTTGAGGCTTGTTTTTGTCGAACAATTATCATCTCATCTAATCATTAGAAAACATCAAGAGAACATCAAGGAGTTAACACAAAAAATGTAATTTCTTGTCACGTAGCGCTTCTATCAGCTACTCTTTTACGCAGTAGGCGTCTGCTCTACTTTTTTCTCTGAATAGTACATTTTGACATGGCGCATAATGAAATTAAGGGTCCTATGTTGGACCGTTCAGTCCAGACACGCGCTGAAAGCTGGGGGAATTGGAAAGAATGTAAACTTTAGCGTTTTGGCAACTTGACGTCCAAATTATGATATGCAATTGAGACAATGTATGCTCAAATAATTTGCTTGGTATCAATTTTTCATATACCAAGGAACTATTCGACCTAAAGTTCTTTAAACTCGGACAAAATCAATAGCATCGCATCTTTCCAATTACACTCCACGTTTTCGATATTTTGGCTTGAGTAAATGTAGGAAAATCGTATTATAAACATACTCTATGAAAGTTTTGCTCCTTTGAGGTTTTCTACAGAGAGGAAACTACAACATAATCCTAGCAAACTCAGAAAGGCTACTAGCTGGGTTATACTACCCTGACGCTGTGGTAAACTGCAAATTCATTGGCAAATATGGCGCATTGTTTGTCGATTATCTAGTGCATAGAGGCTTAAACCTGGCAGATCTTCACGTCATTGGATTCAGCTTAGGCGCCCAGATTGCAGGTTTTGTTGGACAATATTTGACAACTGGAAAACTGCCCAGGATAACAGGTACATGATACACACCTCAAATGTCCTACACAAGTAAGAACAACACTATAAAAGCCTTAACGTATTTTCAGATAACCATTGTCTGCCTAACCATCCAATGTTGTGATTTTAGTGCTTAATTCACGAGCTACATTTTTCTCCAGAGGAATTAGATGCAAAAAGCAACTTTGTGATTTCCAACTAGAATAGAAAGTAGTTCTATGAGCAAGCTGCCCTATATTTTTTTACATATTTGGATAGAGCTTCTAAAAACAAAAATATTGATGTCATATAAGACATGGTTTCAATTGTCAATTGTTTACATATTTAGTAATGTCGAAAAAATGCTTAAGTTTGACGGCTCGTAGCTCCTCCATTTTTTTGAGATATCTATATAAATTTTAGTCCGCAAAAATTCTATTTATCTCAAAACGCAAAATGTAACTTTTCATTTCCACATCCCTAAATACGAACCTCTGTGAACTTTTATTTAGTATAAATTTATACCACTTCTTTTGAACAGTTTTCGAGTTATTGCTATTAATTCCAAGTGAAAATATATTCCACATTTAGACTTAAAACCAGATCTTCCATGAAAAAAATTTTGTTTCGCACAACAAGGCTCATTTTAAGACAGTCATCCGTTATGACACAAGTCTGTCAAAAATTCACGTTAACACGTGCAGCCCCCTGGGCGGGGGTGACACCAACCCTAAAAATGGAAAGAGATTTTGTTGTTGAAAATAGCTATTGGAGCGTTTTTTTGTGGCAAAAAAGTTATTTTTTGAAGAAAGATAAGGAAATATCCCGTACTTATTTTAAATGGGAATTTAGTACATAGTTTGCGATTGATTTGACCAAACTGTGTTGCTAAAATAACTTGTAACGCTTTATTACATAAATTAACCATGGTATATTCCACAGCAAAAAGAGTTGAAATTATCGCAATATTTTTCGGAAATAATCAGTGCGCTAATAGAACAGCAGAAATATTTAATGAGCGATATGAGAACAGTAACGTGCATCGAAAATATGTTCTAGAACTTGTAGCTAAATTTCGGGAAACTGGATCAGTCGCCAATAAAAAACGCAACATTGAAAATCCCATAAGGAGCGAAGCAATAGAAGTGGGGGTTTTAGGGCAAGTTTATGTAGATCCTACGTTAAGTACCCGCAAATTGGATAATTGGAGACTATGTTTGGTGGTAGTCGGCGTACTGTCCAACGGATTCTGAAGGCCCATAGTTTTTGTCCGTATAAAGTTCACCTGGTACAAGAACTTAATGAAGACGATTTTGATCGGCGATTACAATTTTGTGAAGATATGAGTGAAAGAATTATAAACGATGAACATTTTCTATTCAACACTTGCTTTTCCGACGAATGTTCCTGTTTCTTAAATGGTTGTAGTAAATCGTCATAACTGCCGATATTGGTCCGATTCTAATCCCAGAATTTATCATGAGGTTCATACACAGTAGCCACAAAAATTAAATGTTTGGGCTGGTATTTTTGGCGATCATTTAGTTGGTCCTTTTTTCTTACCTGGAAATTTGATCGGTGAAATGTATTTGGGATTACCGGAAGACGCCATAGATCCTGCAGTAACAGCCGTAATTGAAAATCAGAATGATCGGCGGTACATTCCGAATAGGTTGATGTTCCAGCAGGATGATGCCCACCACATTACGCATTACATGTTCGACAATATTTAGATCAGACGTTTCCAGATCGATGGATTGGTAGAAGAGGTGCCATTGAATGGCCCCCAAGATCGCCAGATTTATCACCTTTGGATTTCTTTATGCGGGGTCATTTAAAAAGCAAAATATGTGCTACCACGGTACCCAATGGGTGCTTAGGCCTTAGGCCTTCGTGGTAGTTGGAGTATAAAAAAAAACTCAGCCAACATCATTAGAAGACCTGCGAGAAAGAATTGTGAATGAGTACCTTCAAATTACTCCTCAAATATTGAAAAATGTGCGGCAACGTTTTGAGCAAAATCTGTACCATTGCATGGAGAGTCAGTGGCCATTTTAAACATTTACTTGCCTAACGGGTCAGTTCAGTCTTCATCTTTAATTTACTTTGCTGCCAAATGTATTGATCTCCACTAATGATATTGTATTAGTTTTATTTAAGCTTTAAATCAATAAATCTTCAAAACTACTGAACTGAAGTACATTAATTTTGATATCATTATAAAGGGAATTGAAAGACCTTTAAAATAAGGTATCACTCGACCCCCCTTTCCATTTAAGATTTTGGGGGTGGTGTCACCCCCGCTTAGGGGGCTGCACGTGCTAACGTGATTTTTTGCCAAACTTGTCCCCCTCGAAAACAAAATCGACAGGTCTGAGCATTTTTCAAAAAAAAACTGAGCTGCCAGTAAATGCGTCTGTTTCGTTTTCGAGGCGCCACCCTGTATATGACTGATGTTAAATGAAACCCAGCGCTACTCAAAACCGTATCTAGACGGCCAGTGCCCTAATAGATGGATATGAAGAGGCAGTCAGATCAATTGATCTCTCGACTTCTTTGTGTGGGGCTATGTAAAAGGAGAGGTTTACTAGGAGAAACCAATAACACCCGAGTATATGAAACATCGTATAAGCGAATCTTTTAACCGGATGCCTAGACAAACCCTTTTAGACGTGCAAGATATAATTATGCCCTACTGAGCGAGGGCCGTGGCAAATGCTTGTTCCGGAAGTTGTTGTATCCAGTATACAACTTCTTCCCGTCCAAGTGATTGTGCACGCGTTAAGGAATACCTCAGTACCGATTGCCGGGTGGCGGTACAAGTCCGCCAACGGGCCAGTTTAGGTCTATTCAACATCACTAACACGTAAAAAGAAGGTGGTAGACAAGGACCAGTCGACCGAGGCAGTACCACCCGCTAGCTTTTCCTTTGTCTTATAAATGTCCGCATGTTTCCACACCTAAGCTATGCAGTCGGTTATCTACCAAAACAAAGAAACTAATGATGATGGATCCCTCGAGCACTAAAAACTCCGGACGTAAACTCACTCCACTCTCGGAATGTCCGGGTGGAGGGTGGGCTCGAGGGAACAACATCGAAGATAAAATTTGTTTTTCGAACATCTGCGGGATCAACAGCAACATTGATGCTGTTCATCACTACCTGCAATCCAATCGTCCCGCCGTGCTTTTCTTGGCGGAGACAAAAATCTCAGAGACTGCACCGATTAACCATCTCAACTTCCCAAACTACGAGGTGCACTCCAATCTGAGAAAGAACGGGGGAGTTGTGGCTTTTGTCGGCAGCAGTCTTTCCTGCTCCAGGGATCTTTCTTTGGAATCAGACCGGAAGGATATTCTGTGGCTTCGCCTCAACTCCAAAACATCACCCAAATTTATTTGCTGCCTTTATCGCTCTCCCTCGAACCATAACTGGGATGACCTATTCGAATACCTCGCCGTCCAGATCGACTTCCTGAACATCAATCACCCCGCTTCAGAGGTAGTTCTTCTCGGTGATTTCAATGCCCATAATGAGCTTTGGTTGGGCTCAAATAAGACCGATGCAGCAGGTCGTGCAGTCGAAGCGTTCGCTCTTACTCAAGGGCTGACCCAGCTGGTGACGAGCCCTACTTTTTTCCCCCGGGTCTCGTCACACTCCAGTAGCCTGCTGGATCTCTTTCTGACCACGCATCCTGCCCCTTACAGCACTGCTGTCCTGTCCCCCCTGGGTAACTCAGATCACGGTGTTGTGGAGGTTAGGTTTCGGTCAGAAGCCGCTGTGGCAGCAGAAACTCGCACAGGCCGCAAAACTTGGCATTACGGACATGCCGACTGGGAGGGGCTCAGAGACTTCTTCTCTAGCTTTCCTTGGAGAGATGTCTGTTTCACTGACGCGGATGCGTCGACTGTCTATTCTTCAATAACCGAAATTATCCACGTCGGAATGGAGGAATACATCCCTCACACAGTGAAAGTTCCTAAACCAGGGTCCAACGGCTGGTTCAACAAATCGTGTGACACTGCTCGCCAGCAGAAGATCAAGGCCCACAGAACCTACTTACAAAACCCCACTGTAGAGAACAGACAAGCCGACGTCGAGTCCAGAAACAAATATAACGAAGCGGTTCGCAATGCCAAAACCCAGCATGATATAAAAGTTAGGCACAGGGTAATGTCGCAGCGCAATGGCAGTCGGTCTTTCTGGACGCTGGCCAAGCAGATTGAAAAGAACTTCTCATACAGTAGCCTTCCACCACTTACGTGTCAGGATGGAACTATTCTATCCGACTCAAAGGCCAAGGCGGAAGTGCTAGCCAAGATCTTTGCTGCCAACTCCACCATGGACGTCCCCACCAACGCCCAAGTGCCGTCAATTCAAAGGGTTCCCCACACTATGCGGGAGGTAACATTCAGGCATAAGACCGTAAGACGAGTGCTCTTGTCGCTCGACACCAACAGGGCTTCTGGTCCGGACTTGATTCCTGCCATTGTACTTAAGAGATGTGCAGCTGAGCTTGCTCCAGTTCTTTCGCGTCTCTTCCAGATATCTTATGAATCCGGCACCTTCCCAGAAAACTGGAAATTTGCTCATGTACAGCCCATCCCAAAAAAAGGATCTAAAACCGACCCTTACAACTACAGGCCTATAGCTCTGCTTTCTGCTATAAGTAAAGTGATGGAGAGGTGCATAAATCGCGAACTTCTGGACTACCTCGAACGTCACAGCTTGATTAGCGACAGGCAGTACGGTTTCCGGCACCAACGACCCACAGGGGACCTCCTAGCTTACGTCACGCAACTGTGGAGTAAACTCATCCAGTCTCATGGTGGGGCTCATGTCGTTGCTCTTGACATCACGAAAGCGTTCGATCAGCTGTGGCACGCTGCCCTCTTGAGCAAACTTCCATCCTACGGCCTCCCAGAAAAGCTTTGCAGATGGGTGGCTGACTTTCTCTCTGGCCGCAAGATATCCGTCGTAATTGACGGATTCTCCTCTTCATCCCACAACGTCAACGCGGGTGTTCCCCAGGGGTCGGTCTTGGCTCCAACACTGTTTCTCTTACATATCAACGACCTCCTTTCCTGCACGATCAACCCAATCCACAGCTTCGCTGATGACAGCACTCTGCATGCAGGGGTTCGGAGTGACAAGCCGATCTCTGCCGCTGAGCTGGAAAAAAGAAGACTAGCGACGACTTCTTCTCTGACAAGAGACCTGGAGGCTATCACTGCTTGGGGACGCAACAATCTTGTACAGTTCAATGCTTCCAAAACACAGTACTGTACTTTGACGAACAAAAAGCGTCCTAGCGCTCATACAGTTTCGATGGACGGTCGAGTTCTACCAAAGAGCCATTCATTTCGGCTGGTCGGAGTCCAGATCACCGAGGACCTGATCTGGCACGAACACATCTCTTCAATAGCTGCAGCTGCTGGGAAAAAGCTAGGCTATTTGTTTAGGGCTAAGAAGTACTTTTCTCCGCATGACCTTCTCACTCTATACAAGGCCCAGATAAGGCCTAGCCTCGAGTATTGCTCACACATTTGGGGTGCTGCCGCCCCGACTACATTGTCCATGCTCGATGCTGTCCAGAGGAGGGCGGTCCGACTGATCGATGACTCTTCCCTAACAGACAGTCTCGGGACTCTCTCGCACCGGCGGACCGTCGGCGATCTAGCTCTTTTCTATCGCTACACCAACGGGCTTTGCTCCTCAGAGCTCTCTTCCATGATGCCGCCGCGCGATGTGCCTTCCAGACAGACCCGCCTGACTTCGGCGTCCCATCCTAACCGTGTCAAACTTTGTACATCCAGAACTAGCCGATACGACCGCTCCTTTGTCCCGAGGGTGTCTAGATTGTGGAACAATCTACGGGAGGAAGCTTTTCCCAGTTCTACTAACCTTAGGCAGTTCAAAAATCGTATTAACAAAATTTCTTTGGGATCATCATAGCAGCCGCGGTGTTCCGGCATTTAGGCTTCTGTCTGCGCGGCTGTTTCGATATAAAAAAAAAATAATAATTTCAACAGATGTCTGGCCTTGTGTGCTTTGCACCAAGGGAATATATTCCAACAATTTATTGGCGATTGATTGACTTAGGCTGAGATTACTTTTATTGTTAATAAAAGCTTGATAGAGGATTTGGTGTTATGCTTAAATGCAAGATGTATTTGGTTTTTATTGAAATTAGTAGCAATGTCAACGATGTAGGTATATCCAAGGTGTTCTATTTGAAATGTTTGAGAAAAGGTACATTTTACGTTTAACGTTTGACTGAATATCCAAACAACTTCTTGTTTTAGAAGCTTTATTCTAATATGCAAGAAATATGAAAAATATATGTTTACCATGACACGACGTTATGAAACACCCTGTGTATATAAAATAAAGTTCAAAATATGCACTAGTAACATGTCAAGGTTGTCACTAAAACAAGCTTTTGATATCTTTTCCAGTTTGTTTATAAAACTACTTTCCATTTTCGTTGGGGCACCCAAAAATGATTTTATTTAAATGAAATTTGGTCACGCAGATAGACTTAATTCCCGATAGCTGCTGACGTTGGTAGAGGTTGAGGTAAAGAGGTCACCTTTCTTCACATTATATGTCATGTCCAATTGGTGAATGATCTGGACATATAGGATGCCAAGAAAGGAAGTTGATCTGATCGTTGTTGAAGTGGTCTGCTGTAGCACTAACAAATATCGAGACGCTCATTGATCTTGTTGGGAATTAGGATCCTAAGGCATTTGGAAAAATGGTAAAAGACGATTGCTGGATATACCCTTGCGCGGTTATAACTCCTCTAATTGAAACTAGGGGTGACTTACTCGAACCCCATTTTCTGCCACGCGTGCAAACACTTGAAAAACCCCAATTTATGACAAATACTACGATCTACTATCATCACAGCTTAAACATATGATGAAAGACAGATACAGAGTTTGAAATCGGTTTAAAATTAATTAATAAGACAGAAGATTCCTGCACTCGCTACAAAGAGCTCAGCAATTCAACTTTAAGTCAAATTAGATATGAAAAAGCAGCATATATATTATCTGTGCGTCAACAAAATGATTCAAATACGAGTATGTTTTATAGAGCCTTAAAATAAATGCTTATGCAACAGTTACAAAATACCGATATAAATCTACTTTTAAAGAACCCTACTGAAATTAATTATTATTTCTGTTAAATTTTCAATAACATCATTTATTGATGCACATGATATGCTTTTTTGTGACTTCGGTTCACATTTTACACAATCTGCTTAGAAAAGGGTTTATTTTCAGATTCATAGAAAGAAGCATTAGTGTTACCTGTAGCTAAAATAAATAAACCAACATTACATTTTGATTGAAGACCAATTAGCATTTTACCTGTTTTGTCCAAATTATTAGAAAAAGCAATGTATGCCCAAATTTACAATTACCTCTCTAAACATAAAATGTTGCCTCCCAAATAATGGGGTTATCGAAAAAGATATAACACTTCAGGTGCCCTACCAGACTTATTGTATTCTCTAAGGCATTCCATAAGATAAATCACCATCTTCTAGTAGCCAAGTATAAATATTTTGTTTTTTTGTGATTCTGCCTCAAATATTATTTAGAGTACCCATTGACAAGGCTCCAATGTGCCTCATTTTCTCCGGAGTGCCTCAAGGGTCTGTACTTGGGCCACTCCTATCGATTTTGTATATTTCTGATCTGCATGCAGCTAGCTTTTGAATATTGTAATATCCAATTCTTTGCCGGCGATTCACAGATATACAGTCATTTCCATAATCACAACCTCCAAAGTGCTGAATATGAAGTAAATAAGAAAACTTCGGCGTAAGTTTAAATGAGTGTCTATCTTTATACCACATGTAAATAATATCATTAAGAGTTGTTTTTCCATTTTACGTCAATTATATCTTAATAAACAATTTCTTGACTATACAACAAACTACAAAAAAATTGTTTCATTCTTTGGTAATGTCCAAAATCAGATATTGTGATTTAGTTTATCTTCCATTTCTCGACTGTTGGTTATCAATAAATTTTCAAAAATATGATGATATCAGCTCTTTTTTTAAAGACACTGAATGGTTGAGAGTAAAAGAACTGTGCTACATTTAGTCACGTACACGCACAGAGCTATGCTCTCATCCATTCCGCTTCTTTTGAAAAATAAGCTGATATCCAGAAACAATATTCATTCGATTCACGGAAACACTCACAATGCCCCTTCACAGGGCATCATTCTTACGTAAATGCTTCACATACAACGTAGTTATTTTTTACAATGATTTACATCTACACACAAAATTATCATATGACGAATTGAAGACATAAAGAAATATATTTTGAACAGAAATACATAAATCAGTTGCTAAAATTTATGTCACCTCACACAAATATTTTAAACATCCTTTTGTTTGTATAACTGTTATAACTTATACCTTTAATACTTGAAATATTAAATATGTTATATACAACATACTTTTATACACCTACATTTTTAACTTATCAAATGTTTTTATCTTCGCCCCCTAAATGAGAACGATTTATAATTATTAAACTACCCATAACAGTCTAGGTAGATGTCTTTCTTCGCCTCCTATATGTCGAGTCATTTCGCCCATTTCAAAACTCAATCATTACTTCCTCTTACGCATCTCTTATACTTATACTTGAAGTTGAGTCATTTATTTTAACAATGAGTAGATCTGATCAAAAGAAATGTTTTTTTCCTTTAACATTTTTCTGGTAAAATTAAAGTAACAAAGTTATAGCCCTTTAGAAGTTTGAGTACCGCCCTGTCTCAATAATAATATTATGTGCTCGTGTTTGGCAACAACGGATATAATCGGCCTTATCGGTTCATCGCATCGGAAACAAAAAAGCGAAAGAATTTGAAACGCTGATCACGATGTTTTTATTCAGTCAGTAACGCGTGAGTGAATAGTGGCTCAAACGAAATAAAAAATGGCACATGTAACCAACCCCTCGTGCCTTTGTTAATGTAGTACAACGGGCTCGTGAATCAGGTGACTTAAGACCTCACAGGGGACGGCATGCCGGTGCTCCAAGACCTCACGATCAAATACAGGTCCGCACTGAAATACTTGTCGGGAGGATACTTTATAAAACAAGGTAAATTTTTTTTTATTTTTACACACATATTTTGGTTTATCTTCCTTCTACAATCATTATCTGAAAATTAATGACTCAACTTCAAGGTCACCCTGTATACCTATAAAAAAATTCATCCTACTGCAGTCATTTTTAATGAGGGTTCTATTTTCTTTATCACTGAGAATATTTTCCTGATTTAGGATTAGACCCAGCTGGACCATTGTATAACCACGTGCCACCCAGTTTGCGACTGGATCCAACAGACGCAGAATTTGTTGACATCGTCCATTCTAGTGCCGCTCTGTTTGGGTACAAGTACCCTTGTGGACATGTCGATTTTTGGCCCAATGGTGGAGGGCCTAAGCAGCCTGGATGCTCATTTGTTGAACGAACTCAAAATGGATCATTAAACGAATTAGGTAAGGTTATATTGTAACATGTAACAAATGCTAGTAGTCCAAATACATTCACACCCGCTTGGAAAACTATTCTGATTCTTTCTTTACATAATGTTATTCAAAAGGAGTCCTTTTAACAAAATGTTCTTCTACTATTTCCTCGTTTGAGGACTTGCGTTGTGCTACAACAACAAATCAATATTGTTCTAAAATGGTGTATAAATAACAACAGTTTTCAAAACATTTCCGAATATAAGGTACTTACTTTTTCTAGAAAATATTAATTAATAGAGGATTTCGTATTGGAGCGTTGTGAGAGACTTTGACCGATTACTCACCTTCAATGATCATACTAACCAAATCTTTTCTAGTGTATTTAAAACGTATGGCTTTATAATAAGGAACTGTAGGAGCTTTGACAATAAGCCCTATTCATAATCAATCTGTTGGTGCTATCGTTTCTGAGTCTAAAGACTGCTGGAATATACCCTGCAAAAGGTTCCGATTATAATAACCTTCGACAGAAGTTTGGCTTTCAATCTTTAGAGCAGCGTCGAAACCAAGTTTCTGCACTTATTTTAAACAAATTATTACTCGTGCAAATATACTGTCCCCAAATTATCTCGCAGTTATAATTTCTGGTGCCACTATTAGCTTTACAAGTTAGTATGCCAAAGAGCACAGATTAAGTTATTATCAAAAGCACCAATTAATATAAATGTAACAATGCCAATAAAATTGCTAACGACTAACATTTTTTGTTGCAGTTTTGATGAAATAAGAAATACATCGCGTTTTCTAAATTAAAACTTACCGTTTTGTGTATATATGTTACGGGTAAAGTTAGAATAATGATTAAACTTAGGTTTACCCGGGTAAACTACACAATACAAAGAAAAAATGGTTAATGTCCAAAATAGTATTGAAAATTTACATATTTCGAACTTTACCCGGGTAAAATGCGTTTTATTCGCTTTCGGGTGGTTAAAGTTGAATGTAGAATTATTATTGCATCATCTTTCACCACGTGCAGTTCTAAAATGGCAACCAAAGAAAGCGGACGCGCGCGCTTAGCACAGCGTTTTTATGAAGTTTTCAATGAGTTGCTGTCTTCAAAAAGTGCCAACAGTTTTTATTTTAATAATGAACAATACCAATAAATGTTAGAATCAGTCAAGTTAGCAAAAAATGCTAAAACTAGGACTACTCTACAATATTGACGGTTAAAGAGGTTTGACATATGTTCTGTGAGACGCGTTGAAAAGCTTATTGGTCGTGTATCATCCGGTGAATCTAGCATAAAATATTATAAACAGCTGTCTTGATTCGGATCTAAAGGCCATCGTCGGTTATAATTTCTTCCTAACGTTTCGCTAGCACGAGTGGCAAGCTTCTTCGGAGGTGCTTCCTTTTCCGATGCTGGATGTAGACTGACGATTTCTCTTGCGCAGGTTGTATTATACCGGAGGGTCGGGGACGTGGCTTGTTCCGCTTCAGTTGACCTCGGGATGTCGATCGGCACTGCTCGGGTGTTCCTGAGGATCGGGTGCCAGATCGTGTTGAGTCTGAGGGTCTCTTCCTTCCTGTTGAAGTTATCTGGATATTTGTGAATCTCGAGAGCTTCCCTGACCAGTATATTGTGATAGCCGTTGACTGATGACAGCAACCTGCAGCTCCCAAAGTGTATCCTGTGGTCCCCATTGCTTAGTGCATGTTCAGCTACCCCAGACTTCTCAGTTTGTTTTAGCCGGCAATTTGCATTGTGCTCCTTGAGTCTCGTCCCCATTGATCTTTTCGTGGTTAAAATGTATACTTTGCCGCATGAACATGGCATGCGGTAGACTCCTGCAGCTGAGAGTGGGTCCTTCTTTTCCTTTGCCGATCTGATGGTTTGTTGGATTTTCTTCGTAGGCTTGAAGATTGTTTTAATGTCATGTCTCTTCAGGACTCTGCCAATCCTGTCCGTGACTCTTGGCACAAATGGAAGATACGCTTGAGAGGTGGTGGGACTCTGTTCGGTTTCACGTGGCCTGGCTGATCTCGAGCCCATTGATCTTTCGATGTCAATCTTGCTGTAGCCATTTGCTTCGAACGCAATTTTTAGGTGTCCAAGTTCTGTCCGGAGGTTCTCCGGTTCGCAAATCCTCCGAGTTCGTTCTGTCAGGGTTCTGACGACTCCATACTTTTGACTTGGGTGATGATTGGAGAAAGCGGGCAGGTATCTGTCTGTGTGCGTTGGTTTCCTGTACACTGTGTGACCCAGCTTGCTACCTCGCTTCCTGACTAGTACGTCCAAGAAGGCCAGTTGTTGGTCACTCTCTATCTCCATGGTAAATTGTATGCTTGGATGCTGATCGTTGAGGTGCTGCAGAAACTCGTTTAGCCTGACCGTGCCATCTTTCCATATCACGAGGGTGTCGTCCACGTACCGGAACCTAATTGCTAGTTTGTTCTTCGATGTCTCAACCGCCTGCCTGCCGTTGGTGTAGGTGAAGGGCTTCAAGAAGAACAAACTGACGACCAATCTATGGACAGTAACCCAGAAACAGATAACATGCAAGAAAATATTACTGAAGATGGAAATATGCAAAATATCAACAGTAATTATAGAGAAAACGCTGGTAATATGTAAACTTCAGATAATCAGGGGAAATGTGTTGTGAACTTTGTTTGTGCCAAAAAAACATACGGTCAAACAGACTAGAGACAAAACGAAATTTAGAAAATCGAGCAGAGAAAATGAAAGCTTTGTCTAATTCAAAGTTTCCGTCATGTTCTGTTGGAGATACAGTGAGAGTGAAAATTCCAGACGTTGATAGAGGGAGGGGTGGTTTTAGAAATATTCTCATGACAGTAATCGAAAAAACTGGCGACGATTTTTATAAGCTAGCAAAGAAGAGAGGAACTATCGAGAAGATGTTTTCCAGGAACCAATTTTCTGTGTGTAATGAGAAACTTGTAGATATGGAAAGTGTATCACTGGAGAAGAAAAGTTTACGACAACTTGCAAACGAACAATCTCTTTTAGGAGGTCAAAGTTACAAACGATGCAACTGTAAAACTAAATGCATGACCAATAAGTTTAAATGTAAGGCTATTAGAAATCTTTGTAACTCAAAATGTCATAACAGCTTACCTTGTTTAAACAAATAGATTATAGTATCTTGTACTTTGTTAGGATACAGTTTTAGTGTAACCTTTGATTTTTAAAATCTGTTCTTTCAATAAAATGTTTTTAAAAGATTTATGGCATTATTTTTTAACATTAACCACACGAAAGCGGATGGAACGCGGTTTACCCGGGTAAAGTCCGAAACATTTACAATTTCAGTAATATTTTGGACTTTACTCGTACCCATGTTGTCTGGGTATTGTGCAGTTTACCCGGGTAAACCTAAGTTTAATCATTATTCTAACTTTACACGTAACATATACATATATGCATATGCTTTGTTTGTATTGAAATCCTTCTAAGCCTAGGCTAACTTTTATTTTTATGAACTGCGCAGCTATTAGCGATAAGCTGTTGGGCAATAAATGATTATCATTTTTACTATTATTGTTAATACTATTATTATTATTATTATTATGTTGCCACGCCCAACACTGCGTAAAAAATATATAATCAACTTCTTGTAAATTCAAAACATTTTTTTTTCTCGAGACAAGGTGATTTCAGGGTTTTTGGGTCATTCTGGACAAAAGAGGTTCTTATGAACTTTAACTGATAAAGAATATTCTTCCGCTTTTAGGGGAAATTATCAATGTTAACCAGCGTTTTTTAATGGCTAGCCTAGCGCACGCTAACGAAAAATATACATTAGACGCCCGCTTGATAAATAATAATCAAAATAAAAAGATACGTTTTCGAAAACAAGCTTTTATCTGGCTGTTAATAAAGGAAGTTAAAATTTTGAAAATATTTTTGTTTGATGGAAAATATTGAAACGATAATGACTTCATCTCAGGTTTTCAAATAATAGCATGTTACACCATCTTTCCATCCTGCTCTCAAAACATGACACGCTTTTATTCAAAACTTGAAATGGATAAGTTGCATTATCGTTTGAATATTTCCAATCGGAAAAAACATTTTTTCAATTTTTAGTTCGTCTTATTAACAGCTAAATAAAAGCTTCTTTTCAAAAATAGATTTATTCATTTTTCACTTTTTACTATTTATGATGTCAAATTACTAGTTTGGTAAATTATCTACAATCAAATCACTTCATTATTGATACCCATATTGTAGGGGTGACTATGAAAAGTGTAAATCGCCATTCTGCAGTGAGCGCCATATTAGATTTAGCATGACGTCACGTTGCCTATTGTGTTTCTGGCTTCAAGTCCTTCCATTTGCTATGCATATCATACGAGGGCCACGCTATATGTTTTGAGATACACGAAAACTAAAAGCTATTTTTCGAAAACTATTTTATTTACGTTCAAAGTATTCTCCTCCAGCATCAATGAACTTGTGTAGCCTGACCTACCACAGATTAAATACATCTAACCAGTTAGTTTTTGGAATGTCTTCAACAAACTGATTAATTGCTTGATCGATTTCCTCTTCGGACGAAATTTTTCGACCACGCAGATTTTTGATCAAATTGTTGAAGAGCCAGAAGTCACACATTTCCTAATCTGGCACATAAGGCGGGTGTTCTAGCATTTTGATGTGGCGCTGGCGTAAAAAGTCTACTGTTAGTTGGGCAGTCTGGCCAGAGGCATTGTCGTGATACAGGATTGCACCTTTGCAACAACTGTTTTTGAATGAAGATGATAATGTAAAATGGTGTGCACTGTTGCTGATCCTACCCCAAGAGTTGCCTCAACAGTCGCATATGTGCAGCGAGAATCTTCATCAATTGGCCACTGAACTTTAACGGAGTCACACTAGAACATGGCCTACCACTACGTTCTTCATCAGCCAATAAAACACGCCCTCTGTTAATGCTTCATTATCAAATACCTGTTGTAACCGTTTGATTCATTGATGTTCAGTTAAACCGACTTTAAAG